CCCCCCCTCCCCTCCTCCCTCCTCTCTCCCCTCCTCATGATGACAACTCGTCGTCTTCTATCCCAAGTCACATCAATCAAGATCTCTCCTTCTGTCCCCACTGCACGATTGTGGAATTCTCGTGTCGCAGTCAACCCCACCGTCTCTCCCAGCCCATTATTTCCGCGGGTCCAGAACTTCACTACTTCACGCGCCATGGAATCCATCGCTGGCACTGCTGATGACAGCGGGGTCCCCTACGCCTCGGTGTCTGACAAATTAGACCCTTTGCTCTTCAAGGCCATCACGAAGTTGGGCTTCGACCAGATGACTCCCGTGCAGCACCGCGTAATGAGCCAGCTGCAGCCCGACGGCTGGCGCGGCGACTGCCTGGTCCAAGCTAAGACTGGTACCGGCAAGACGGTCGCCTTCCTGCTGCCGGCCCTGCACCGGCTCGTGCACGGTGACACCTCTGTCCCCAAGGACCAGGTCGCCGTCCTCATTATCACCCCCACGCGCGAATTGGCGCTGCAGATCGCCAAGACGTGCAACGGGCTCACCTCCGAATTGCCTGGCCCGCGTAAGATTGAATGCCACGTTGCTGTCGGCGGCACGGCTAGGGCCTCCGCGTTCAACAAGTTCATGACCGGCGACCCCAAGGTCCTCGTCGCCACCCCAGGCCGTCTGCAGGACTACCTGAATGATGAGGAGTGCGTCCGCAAGTTCAAGAACATCCAGACCGTCATTCTCGACGAGGCCGACACCATGCTCGAGGCCGGCTTCCTGCGGGATGTACGGCAGATTCTGAGAAGGCTCCCCGCCAAGAAGGAGGCCGGGTGGCAGGGCATGTGCTTCAGCGCTACGGTGCCGCCCAAGGTCAAGGACGTGATCGACGTGGTGTTGCGCGACGGATACCACCACATCTCAACGCTCGACCCGAACGAGTCCGCCACCCACGAGCGCGTGCCGCAGTATTCGGTGGTCGTGCCCGGCGTCGAGCAGATCTACACGGCCCTGCACGCGCTCCTGAAGGAGGAGATGAAGGGCAAGAAGTCGAAGAAGGTGATCGTGTTCGGCGCCACCTCGAACTTGGTCGCGCTGATGCGCATGGCGTTCGCGAAGCTGCTGGAGGGTGAGACCACGACGCTCGAGATGCACTCGCGGCTGTCGCAGCCGGCGCGCTCGCGGGCGACCAACCTGTTCCGGGAGACCACCTCCGGGGTCATGTTTGCCAGCGATGTGGTCGGCCGCGGCCTGGACTTCCCCAACGTCGACCTGGTGGTGCAGGTCGGCCTGCCGGCCAACCCGGATCAGTACGTGCACCGCGTGGGCCGCACGGCGCGTGCCGGCAACGACGGCCGCGCCGTGATGCTGCTGACCGAGCGCGAGAGCTTCTTTGTCAAGGTCAACGCCGGCAAGTTCCCCATTCAGCCGCACCCCAACAGCGCGGAGATCCTCGCCGCTGCCGCCGATCCCACCCGCTCCAAGGACGTCGTCAACCAGGTCATGGCCGCCGATGTCGACGAGATCACTAAGCAACGCGCCTACGCCTCCTACCTCGGCTGGCTGGCCGGCAGCGGCCGCCTGCTCAAGCAGCTGCAACTCGACAAGCCCGGCCTCGTCCAGCTGGTCAACGAGCTCGCCATCAAGGGCTTTCAGTGCCCCGAGCAGCCCGAGATCCAGAAGAAGGTTGCCGGCAAGATGGGTCTGTCCGGGAACATCCCCGGCCTGAGACTCACCGCCGGAGACCCCAAGCTGTCGCTCAAGGGCAAGCCGCCCACTCAGAACGGCGCGAAGAAGAGCGCCCCGCGCGACGTGCTGAGCCCCGAGCCCAGCGGCGTGGAGAAGCCCTCCTCCAAGCCCAAGCGCAGGGGACCGTGGACCAGGCGGTACTAAACGTTCCTCCCTCATATCTTAGCTTCTCACCTTCTGTTTGGCATGACCGGGGTTTCTTTTCGCGTCTAGGGTTGAGTGTTTACCTACGAATGTGTACTTATAGATTCATAGATTTGCAATTTCATTGACTAGGGTTTGATGCTTTGAATTCGAGAGATTTGCTCGTGAGCTCGAACCCTTTCGGGATCCAGATCACCTGTCACGTCTTTAGATTCCGGACCAGTCCGGTGCTATAGATAAGGTAGTCCCGCGGCACTTTTCCCATCACGATCTATCAGGCTCGTTCAAGGCCGAATGCCTTTCTCGGGAATCCCCTCTATAGTTCTCCTATGTCTTCTCAGTTAAATCCAATTTGTCAGACTGTACTCCCGTGACCACGCCTCTGATTGGATGCGAGATGTGGAAGTCAGGTGATGTGCACCAGGCACCGTAGGTAGTGAGCCTGTTCCGTGAGGCTGCCACAAGCCTCCCAGCCTCGGAATGACGTCACTAGCATTTGGCTCAGGTACCGCACCATCCATCCCGAAGGATCCAGGATCCGAACCCGAACCCACGATAAGCTTAGATCGACTCTCTCGGTGATCTCCCTTGGTTGAGCTTGGGTATAAGCATTCCTGATATCGAGATGCAGTCCCTGGCCATGTCTTTGCACCTCCCCTCGAGGCTTCGTTCGTGCCAATTATCGGATGAGTGGTACCGAGTCACAGCTGAGTCCTGCCCGCAGCCTCACGCGACAGGTTTCTTGACTGCCTTAGTACAGATTTGTACAGAGGATTGAGTGAAGAATGTGGTGTGGGTGTGTCCTGCAGTATGCAGTCATTCCCTCCCACCGTGGTTGGTACATACACTCCCGCGGGTTTATCGTGCATCGAACCTCGTACCGGGGATTCACGTGTCGAGATGCTATTGCGAATTACAGCCCCTATGGACATTACGAGCAAATCGATGCGGACGAAGCGAAGCAATCATACTGATCTGCGCCCGAACTTCCCAGACTAGAATGGACTACAGCAGGTCCAAGAGCTCCGATCTCCTGCGCTGCACCACCGCCGCGCGTCGTCGGCTGGTGCGGAGAAACGGCCGCGTGGTGAAGCCGAGTGGGAGGCGCATCCCTGTTCGGTCGCCGGTCTTTAAAAGAAGGGGAGGTCGGTGGGCTGGTTCTTGGACCTCGTTGCAACAGATATCCTGAAGTTGTCGTGTCTACAAGCCCGACGAAATCATCAGAAGCATGCCTCTCAAAGTCGTGGTCGTCGGTGCCGGGCTCGCGGGCCTCGGGGCCGCTATTGCCCTGAATCGTGCGGGTCATGATGTTGAGGTGCGCTGTCCTCGGCCAAAAGTGAAGTGCCTATGTCTCGAAGCTCAGAATACTGATAGTTGGTTTACGATCTACCTAGGTCCTCGAACAATCGAGCTTCCTGAACGAGGTGGGCGCCGCCATCCACGTGGCGCCGAACGCTACCCGGATCCTGCGCGACTGGGGCTGTGATTTCGACAGCCTGCAGGCTGTTCAGTGCAAGAGGTTGCAGGTCTGGGATTCGACTGCTAATCTAATCTATACTCCGGTTGTGCGTTGTCAATTCATGCTATGATGCCGCAGGCTCGGACTGAACTAATGCTGTCATCGTTGTGTAGGTGACCGAGGTTCAGCAGAGGACGCTCGGAATCTCTGACGATTGGGTGTTGACGCATCGGGTTGATCTCCACAACACGCTTCGGGCGACGGCGGCCCGGGAGGTCGATGGGCGGAAACCGAATATTCGTCTTTGCTCGCGGGTTGTTTCTGTTGTAAGTCTGGTTGATGATTTGGTGCTGCATTCGCTGATATCGTCGAAGGATGCCGAGGCAGGTGTTGTCAGCTTAGAGTGTGGTGAGACCGTCACTGGAGATGTGATTATTGGCGCCGACGGCATTCATGTAAGTTTTAGTCACCATCGTGGCTGTTTTCAATCACTCACCGCTGCAGTCCCGGTCGGTCAAGGGGGTCACCGGCGAGGAACCGTGCAAGGTCAGTACCGGCCAGAACTGCTTCCGGTTTCTGGTGCCGGTCTCGAAGATGCTGGCGGATCCTGAGACGGCCGCGCTGGTGCAGAAGCTCGGGCTGGACGGCGTCCATGCCATTGCCTCCGAGGATCGAAGGCTGGTCCTCTATCCCTGCCGCGGTGGGGACTTGCTCAACGTAGCGGGAATCTACCCCGCGGAGCCCGGCTCTACCGTCAAGGACTCCTCGTGGCTGGAAGGTGGTAGCATGGAGACGTTGCTCGAGACATACCAGTCGTTCAGCCCGGCGCTGCAAGCCATGTGCCGCCAGGCCGAAGATCTCAAGCTGTGGAGCTTGGCCTCGCGCGTGCCGCCCACAACCTTCGTCAAGGGCAAGCTGGCCCTCGTTGGCGACGCAGCGCATCCCACACTTCCGCGTAAGTCTTTGCTGCACCTATAGTCAAGGGCCGAGTGAGCTCCCAGCTAACACCACCCATAACCCACAGACCAAGGCCAGGGTGGTGCGCAATCCTTCGAGGATGGCGCCGCGCTGGGCGCGGTCTTCACCTCCTGCACCACGCCGGAGCAGGTACCCCAGCGACTCGAGCTCTACAACCGTGTGCGCTACAACCGGGCGATCACCGTGCAGTTCATGTCGAAGACGCACGACGAGAAGCGAGGCGAGATGCTAGATGAACTGCGCCAGTTCGTGCCCGACGCCGAGGTCCCGAAGAATATGTTCGCGTTCACCTGGAGCTCGTACCCGGCCCGCGAGGCGGAACGGCTGTTGGTCGAAGGTGCGGCGGCATGATCGGAGCGTCTCCTAGCAGCTTTGCATTGTACATATCTCAGTAGTGGCTGATTCATCGCACCCAAATCTTGGCTCAGTCGTTTCAAGTACCTTTAGCAGTTTTGGCAGTCATCAGGTTCCGATTCAAGTTTGCAGCATGCGTCGAAGTTGGGGTGTTCAGATGGCGAGGTTTCACCGGCTGTGAGCGGAGAGGCTTCGGCTCTCCACATTTGTGGTACCCGATAGTCCCGCGGGAACAGATGTGAGTGAATAGCGCCAAGATCGACAGGGATGAGAATGACGCTCCGACTGTGGACTGTACCTCTGGCAGAAGATTGAGCGTAAGTACTTGTACTTGGACTAGCCAAGAGTGCCCCTGAAAGGGAAGAGGAATGGATGTGGTGAACGATGGATGATGGTGGATCGATGCTGTGGTGTAGAAGGTACTAGGCGGAAGGAGGCAGCAGAATGGCCATCCGTAGCCCGGCTCCTTCGGCCTTAACCGTGTCGATCTTCCATTAGTGCTTTCTGCCTTCCCCAACTCAACTCATCTCCCAACACAAACTCCCCCCCTTGCGCACATTCCCCCACCGATGATGACTTTTGTCTCAGGCTGACGAGCTGCTGTGTATTATCGCTGATCCCCCTTCAATATGCAAACCCCGCGTCTGCAATGCGACACGTGCAACGCGACCTTCCAGCGACGGGAGCACTATCAGCGCCACATCCGCACCCATACTAAGGAGCGTCCTTTCTGCTGCTCAGAGTGCGGACAGACCTTTGGTCGAGTGTAGGTGATCATAGGTCTCTGCAGTACAGCTGTACATTCGCGAATCGAGCATCTCACAGATAAGCAGTGACTCTCTCACCCGCCACCTCGGTACGATCCATCAACGCGGCAATCGACCAGATTGCGACAGGGACGAGGGCCGGCGCCGGGTTGCCCGCGCGTGCAAACCGTGTAATCAATCCAAGGTCCGCTGTGACGGACGACTGCCCTGCCATCGTTGCCAGAGTCATAGCGTCCAATGTCACTACGAGGCTCCTCAGAAGCGGAGATTGACAGGCTCCGGCGGTCCGGTGGATGACCAATTCACCAAATGTCCCCGGGCTGCTGCTGCTGAAGCGCAAAGCGCGACGCTAGCATCGACTGCAAGCAGCGAAGACGTCCCGCAGTCGACTGTCGCACACTTTCTCCCCCCATCGCCGTCTACTCAAACAGCCTCTCATGGCTTGGAATCACTTGAAGCCGCTACGTCCGGCGCTCCCAGTGTTGCAGCTATCGGCGGCTGGACCCAGCTATTCGAACAGTTCAATCCTAACTATGGTTCTAGAGTGTTTGATTTTGCGACCGAGGATTTTGACAGCCTTTTCGACTTGGACCGGGGCTTGGGCTTGGATTTGGACCTGGACTTGAGTTACGACCCGCAGGCGTATACAGCGCCCACCTTTCTGGATAACGATGAGGTGGCACGAACGGCGGCTAACGGAGTGGAACATGCTGGTCATGTTTCCCATTCCTCCGTCACAGAGACCTATCAAGTCGCTACGCCTCTGAGCCCGACTACCTTGGTAGAGATGTACCACCGGGGCTGTTCCCCGGGTCCCGATGCAGAAACTCAGGAGCTACGACAATATCACCCCGCGATCGATGGCACGGACCCGCAATTTGGGTTTCCGGCTATGGACGACAGCCCCTTGGAGCAGATAGATCGCGAGAACCTAGCTCACGTTCCTGAAGTGTCGGCCACGGTGGTGGAGAACGTCGCTCATGTGGCGAGAACCATGCACACCACTGCATTTCATCGGCCATTCATGGAGCTCCGCTTCCCGCCTACCATCGTTCTCAATGCTTGGGTCCAGCTCTACTTCGAACACTTCCACCCGACTCTACCCATTCTCCACAAACCCACCTTCAACAACCAGAAGACTCACTGGCTGTTGATATTCGCCGTCAGCGCCGTTGGGGCTCAATTCTCCGATCTTCCCAAGGCCCAGAGCTGTGCAAGGGCAATGCATGAAATGGTTCGCCGACAGACTAATTTTCTGGTAGGTCTGGCACCTTGACCCGACGTACGAGAACGACAGCTGAGACCAGGTTCGTGCGGGATAAGTGTGAGCAACAAAACAAGTTCAGTCGTGAGCTTTGGATGACGCAGGTCATTCTGCTGAATCAACTGGCGCTGGCGTATTCTGGTGAACGAAGGGACTTGGAGCTGGCGGAGCTGTATCAGGCCATTCCGGTCACCCTGGCCCGCCGGAAGCAGCTGTTTGCCCACACTACGTCCCTCCAGAAGATGGCGCGGCTGGAGTTGTCTCTGCCCCAAAGATGGCACATATGGACTCTGGATGAGGAACGGCGAAGAGCGGGTTTTGCTGTCTGGGTAAGAGCATTGAGTGGGTAGACGATTGCTTTCTAACTGTGAGGCAGTTGCTCGACTCCGCCTTCGAATCCGATTTCGATCTTACGACTATCGTGAACGATCGGGAATTGCAAAACACGCTTCCGCAGCCTGAGGATCGATGGGCGGCACGGAGTGCTTCATGTTGGGCTAGCTTTCCACCTCCAGGTTGGTGACAGTCACCGTTGTGCCTCTTGATTGAACTAACCATCGATTAGCGAAAGCTTCGCCGCGGCTAAATGAGATCGTGGCCGACCAGGATTGGGTTCTCGCCTGGAACAGTACAGGAACGATCGGAAAGCAAGCGATCCTCCGGCTCCTCTGCAACACTGTGCACGCTCGTAGTATCCGTTCACAGCAACCACATACCGTTGATCAAGAGGGCGAGGTGGCAGGGGAGGCGTTGCGACGTCTTCTCTCATTGCTAGATGCCGAGGAACAGAACCTGCCACCAACAGAGCTCAAGGCATCTGTGGCCCATCGGGTTATGATTCTCTCTGCTCTTATGATCAGTCAAGCTCCACACATCTCATTGATACCAACCGCTCTCCGAGTTAAGTGTCAGCGGTACCGACCCGATGAGCTTAACGAGCTCACAGCGTTGTGGAGAGCCATGCCTCAGCAAGGACGACTTTCGCTATATTATGCCGCGCGCTTGTTCGAGATTGTCCGATCACATTGGTGCACACACTTCTCCACCCCTGTTCTGTTTCTCAAGTCCGCCCTTCTGCTGTGGACATACTCCGCCCTACATGTCTCAACCACGTATGGTGCGGCGGATGAGCCATCCATTGTTATCGCCACTCTAGACGCTAGAAGCGCCTTGTTGAATGACTGGCTAGAGCGTGGGTCTGGTCGCGTCAAGATGGCAGGGGTCGGCAGTATAATGACAGACGATGGTCGAGCGAGACTTCTGGACGAATCAATATCGGCGATGAAGTCGCTAAAGGCATGGGGTGTAAGCAAGATGTATAGTCAGGTTTTGATGCGACTGCGAGGCAAGTGAGCAGGTCAATTTCTGGAAAGCCCGCCGCCCGTTTGATTCTACCTGCAACTTCGAACGGGTCGATCCTATCGATGATCCGCCCGGTCATCGCCGAGAATCTCTGCCCCGCTCGACTCGCATTGGACGAAATAATGGGATCTGGACGACGGTCGATCTTGTTCTGATCTGCAAGGTTGCACGCATCTTCAGGAACACAATCCGGATGATCAACATGTTGCGAGTTCAAAGAGTGCTTGAGGAGGAGGGACCAAACCTGCTTCTCCACATCTAGCCGGACGCTTAATTCTCCACACCGGTGCGCTCGGCTCCACATAAGTGAGCCTTTCGAGTACTCACTCCTGCAGGTTGTTTGTTGAGTCAGCGGGACTTTGACTCCGGATAAAGCATGCATTCTCTTATAGGGGTAAGTCCGAGTCGGCTTGTTTGATTAATGATTGTCCTCAATGACCCATGGAACGAAAGTTGATCGTGTGAAAATGCAGATCGGAGCGGCCTTATAAGCAGCCGCCGGCTGCAACTCGCCGCGAGATTCCCGACTTGCGTTTCTCTCCTCCTCGAGCAGCCGAGGACCATTTTAACAGCAGCCCGTCTCCATCACAAACATCCCACTCGTCCTTCGGTGTTTACTAGCTGCTGAAAATATTGGCATAATGCAACCACCTAAGCCCTTTATCGGGGCCATCGGGGGTTCCTTTCTCCTACTTCAGCTGCTGTTTCTGGCCATGATGTGCTATTTATATGGAACGGCCTTTCATGATACATCCCGGATTCAACACATGAAAGTCCTCTATGTCGACTACGATCAAGGTCTAATTGGCAAGTCCGTCCTTGCCGCCTACTCGCAGCTCCAGAACCCCGGGTTTCCCAGCGTGCATCAACACTCCCCGAGCGAATTTCCGTCCACAAACGATGTTCGCAAAGCCGTCTGCCACGGCCACTACTGGGGCGCAATCTACGCCAACTCGAATGCCTCCACGCAACTTTCCAGCGCCCTCGCCTCCCACGAAGCAGCAGAGGCGTACGACAACACGGCCGCCCTGACATACGTGTGGAACGGGGCACGATACGCCGCCTACGCGCAAACCATCTACGCCAGCCTCGAGGCCCTCGTCTCAGCCACCAGCGGCGCGTACGGACACCTCAACGGCACGACAGCGATGGCGCACGTGAACGTCTCCGACCCATCCATCGCGCAGACCCTGCTCGCCCCGATCGCAGCCTCGGCGATCGACATAAAACCCACCAACCAGGGGCCGCGCTTCTTCTATAACACCGTCAGCATGGTGATGCCCATCCTGATGCAGTTCTTCTTCATCATGGCCGTGAACGGCATCTCCGCTGAGTTCGCCGCCTTCACCGCCACCTTGTCCGTGACCCGCCACACCCTCGTCCGGGCGTGTCTCTCGCTGTGCTACACCTTTCTCGGCGCCCTCGCCATGGCCGGCTACATCTGGGCCTTCCGCGAGGACTGGAGCACCAGCGACGGCAACGCCTTCGGCCGCACCTGGATGGCCCTCTGGCTCGTCATGCACGTGAACTATTTGTGGCTGGACGCCACCACCGTCGTCGTGCCCCCCAAGTTCATGTCCTTCGTCATGCTCACCTGGATTATCCTGAATGTGTCCAGCACCATCGGCCCCTTCGACCTGTCCCCAGGCTTCTATCGCTGGGGCAACGCCCTCCCTGCCTACGAACTGTACCAGGTTCTGCTGTATATCTGGACGGACGGGTGCAATCGGCCCGCGCTGCATCAGTCCCTGCCCATTCTGTTCTCGTGGTGGATCGTCGGGTGGGCGGTGTTCGTGGTGGGCATGCGGGCCAGGGTGCGGGCGCTACTACGCCTCATGGCTGGAGGACCGGAGGGACGTGAGGAGCGGGAAGAGGAGGGGGTGGTGAAGATGTAACTTACCCTCGATTCAAGCTGCCAAGATTGGGTGAGAAGTTTACAAAACTTAGCTTTTAATCTGGTTCTTGATTCCTACATTTCCAATACCTAATGCTATCCCCGCAGACTGTCAACTGTTTTCTGACTCGTGGCTAGCAGTATGGCCAACAGCAGGAAATCCGAGTGCGGCGTTATCCTGTTCCAGCCATGTAGCACCCCCGCAGTTTCGAGTTTGCTCCGCGATGTGGTATATGGCACGAGCTTGACAATGTAGACGCGGGCACTATCTTCCGCATTGAAACATGTGAACAGGGACATCAACCCGCAACACCGTACATATACAGTACTATAGCAACTGTCGCAGCTTCTGCGCAACCCAGTCACGTGGTCCAGCGCTTCACCAGGCGAGCTGACTGCCCACGGGCACGCAGATAACCCGGCTGGCGCCCACAACCCCGAACCCAGGGTATCGGTCCATATTGCCCGTGCCTGCGCTTGATCGGACCGCCACCGACCATGAGCTCGCAGTCTCGTGAGGCCCCGGGTCGTGGTCGTGTTGCCAGATTACTCAGGTCTTGACGCCTCCTTGGTAGCAGATGATAAGGTAACACACTCTACCTTTCGATCTACCATATCGATGTACATGCACCGGACCAAGACCAGGCTACGGAGTGACTGACTTTGAATCACAAGAGACAGTCCGTCTACTCGTGTTCAACAGTCCACGCAGACGAAAGGCTGTGCCTCATGTTGGTTATATAAGAGATACGAGCAGGCTGACAAGATCACAGTGTTTTGCTAACAAAATAGCGCACAGAAGTATCCTTATTACTCCAATCTCCGAGAGGGACTCGCAAGTAAACTATGGAATCAGACTATATAGATTCCAAGATACACAAAGAAAAGGATAAACACAATATAACATGGAAGAAAATGATCACGCCCCATAGAGCATACCGGGACGCTTCGACGAGCCCACCCCCGCCCCGGAACCAGGCGACTCCCGCCGCCTCTTCCGCTCCACCAGGTCCCTGCCACCAATCTCGAACCCGGCCCTAGACGGATACCCATGTCCGTACTCATATACGTCAGCACCTCGCACACTAGTCAGCAGCACCTTCGCGTACGCTGCCGCCGTCGCAGCCGCGTAGTGTTGCCACCGGTTGTTCCGGTGCGTGTCGCCGTAATCGCAGATCCCGCGGATCAGCACACACGGAAAGAAATCGACGATGCCGGCGGCTTCCGTCTCAAAGCACAGGATGTTATGCGCTTTGGTGAGGATATCGCGGTGGTAGCCCGCGGGCGGGACCGCGGTGCTGGAGGCGACGAGGCCGTAGTGGATGCGGGGCTGGAGGGTGGGGCGAGGCGGGCGGCGGAGCTCGAACATCGACCAGCAGCGGTGGCAGTCGGTGTCGCCGGGGAGGGCGTGAGGGTAAAAGCCGTGGAAGAGACGGTCAGGTTCGGGGTCGGGGTGTTGGTATTGGAGTTTGAGGAGCTCGATCTGGCGGAGGTGGCGGTCGACGGAGGCGGTGGCAGGCTCCGGGTTCAATTCGAGGGCGCTGATTGCTTCGGTAAGGTCAGTGGGCGGCGGGAGGAGGGATCCGTTGAGCCTGAACGGCCCACTTTCGGGCGTCTGGGCGATGTCATACGGTAGGACTCCCGAGTACGCGCTGCGGGGGTCGCTGACGACGACATCGCCTAGCCGGATGTCGTGCGCGTCGCAGGGTGTTCCTGCGCCCATACCGACCAAGAGACAAAAGCGTATCCTGGGAAAGCTGCACTTCATGTAATTGACACTGGTCAGCGCCGAGACGGTGCCATCTGAGCCGTGCTGTAGGCAAACGCCGATCACGTTGTGTTCTGCTATACGGCCCAGGACGTATTGGTTGGGGTCCCCGGCTGTCACCGTGACGGACTCGAAGACCTCGTCGAAAAGAACACGGACTGCCATCAGCTCATGTCGTAAGCCACAAATAATTCCAACGGTGTAGTGAGCAATTGCCGGCTGTCTCTTGGACGGCTCATGGAGAGCGTGTTTCGACTGGCCAGCTGCCGAGTTTCGCATGTTGAGGAACCCTTGCTCCAGCGTCTGAGACACCTCGTATCCTGAAGAACGGCTTGCACCGGTATGGATCGATGAATTTCGATTATCACCGGGGCTGCCTTTGGATTGATTTGGTCCCACGATTCCCGGAACGACAGGCTTGGACCGAGTTGGATATCCGTAGTCGCCCCAATACCATGCATCGTCCGGATTAAACCCAAAAACCATAGCCCCTACGTCCCAATCAGGGGCCACGGTCATATCTTGAGCTTCGTTCAGCATCGCCACAGGTACAAGCATATCGACATGCTCCGTGCTCTTAAGTCTCCCTCTGACGTCTTGCGAACGGTGCGTGTTGCTGGCCTTCGTCGAGCACCAAAGAAGGTCACGGGTCAATCTTACAGGATTCGAGTCCGGATCACCGTTCACTTCCGCTATATTTTTAATATCACGAGCGCTAGCGGTGAGATAGAACCTGCCGGTTGGGACCGTGTCCCATCTTGCAAATGGTTGTGGCCAATTCGCAGGTTGTATGATGTCACCGAAGCCCCGACCAAATAACGTGACTGCATAGATTGATCGAGTCAGGTCCACCCAGGATCGGCCCTCATATGGTAGGACTGTCTGCCGTAGGTGGATACGATCGTTCTCCCTAATGAGGTCCCGGATATCCCACCCGTCCAGCAACGACCTAGGCTGTATGCCAGCCGGGTTGTGCCGTTTGGCAGCTCTAAGCCGAATGTCTATTGCCTGTTCCAGTAAGGTAAAATAGTCTTCAGCACGGTTTTGAAAGGTAATCAAATTCTCTCCGCTGCCGGAGATGTGTATCTTGCGATTGATCGGATGGACTAAGAGTTGGAACGCCGAGTCCCATTGATATGGCTGTTTGGCTTCGTGTAACTGGTCCTCATGCAAACGCCGAGCAGGCTCAAGTGCACTCTCACGGCGGTCTTCATAGATTGATGCTCGAACAAGATGTAGCAGAGCGCTAGCTCCGTTGACCAGCCATCCTCTTTGATCCGTTTCATCCCATAGAACAACATATTTTTGGAAGAGCCATTTCATCTTCTTGATGAATGACGAACGCGGTGCCCTGATGTCTCTTTGACCCATGACAGGTCGTATGCCGTCTGCAAGAATTGGGCCTGCAGAGAGCGTGGAGGTACTGAACAGCTCTGTCTCCTCAGTAGTGTGTGGTAATCCTGTATGGCCAATGCTATAGCTCGCACCTCGTTGACCTAGAGCCAGAGCGTCAGTGTCAACCGTCAAAATTCTCGTAGTCATAGACAGGGAATTAGAATACAGACCTGCGAATAGCTTTATCTCTGGACACCAACCTACTACATGCCGAGCTGTCCTCAAGTCTCGGACTGCGACGGAGAGACCTGGCCACTCTTCGCTGCGTAAATGAGACATTCGGCCCCCGTATTCCTCCTGAATAAAATGCCATAAGACAATATTCCGGGAATAGCTAGTCGCAATCGCCATGCTGGTGAATCCCTTCAAGAGTGTCTTATCATCAAACTCAGATGCTCGTGTCGTGTCAACCAGCTGAGCCAGCATTCCCAGCGGTATTTCGAGGCCCTCAAACATGTGCGGTGGTCGCCGACGTATTGGGAAACCCTCCACTACCACTGGGCTTGCCATCATTCTGTGCCAGCACTCCCCGTTGATGTCTTTCCTGTTCTCCATATGCTCCGTGAGCTCAACTGTGAGCTCAAATACGAAAGCCGAGTGTGGACTGTGATCGTTGTGCTGCAGCCTGGAGACATGAATAATGGGCTTGCTATATGTGACCGTCCCTTGTGAAGGAGAAGTCCGCAACGCAGAAGCCATCCATGCCACCTGCTCGCCAATCTCTGCAATGGCGGGTCCTGTTCCCAAAATCTCGAAGAGCATTTGGCGCGAGGACCTTTCACTTGAAAATGTACTTCGCGCACAAGTGACTCGAGTACCATCCGCAAGGGTCACTACCACAAAGAAAAATGTTAGCAATCCATACGGTCAAACGGCAATGATAAAAACTACCAGATTCCTTGGCCCCCCTAGTGACAACTGCTTTTACCAGACACAACACGTCCCTGCCAGTAGAGGGCCAGGTTTGGTCCATATAGTCCCTAGTGGTCAAGGCTTGTACTGACGAGAGGCAGCCCGTAGTTGTAATGATTCTTTCAAATGCGTAATCTGTTGCCTCTTCATACCGCTGCTCCTCGATGAACATGATTGGGTCCCAGTTCGCTTTTAGTGCAACATTGAACGTCTGACTCGTAGCTTTTCTACTGATACGTGGAGTCTTAGGCAGAGCTCCAAGAATCTTTTTGCGGATCCCGGCTCCCGAACTTAGTTCAGGCAGAGCGATTATACGTTCGCGTTGAATCCTTTTCAACAGGAGTGCATAAGCAGGACTCCTGTGAATTAAGAGCCAATAGTTCTGCAGTTGCGAATAATCGCTGCGAGCCTCGGAACTGTTGTTCTGGGCGGCTGTGTCTGCACAAGACGTGGTGGTTTCAGTCTGCCTCAGGCAGCCTCTGTGGCAATCCGCGATTTCACGATGAGGAAGGGTCATGCAGTGTGAGGACCCGTCGTTTCTTCGCCCCCAAGGCCATAATTTATCGTCCACAGACATCGCTTTATCTGATTGCTGTTCCATAGATCCACTACCGCGCGCGAGGAGAGCTTGCTCAAACATCGATGCAATCTTTCTGATGACGCGGCACAAAGGTCAGCCGCAAGTAGATTACTGCTTCTTCGCGAAGACTAACCGTCGATGTTGGTAAATCAAAACCATGATATCACGCTGGGTTTGATTGGTGGATGCTTGGCCTAGACTCAGCGCAAAAGCTCTCAGCAGCTCAGGGAGCGCTTCGACGATATCCTGAATTACGAAGTAATTCAGGTCGTAGATATCCACAGCCTTGGAGAGGTCGCTAGCTAGCCCATGGATAAATGCGTGTATCTCATCACCGTTGCTAGAGCACTTGGGGTGGATGCTTTCCTTGTCGCTTTCGTCACTAGTATTGCCGCCCTCCAGGCACTCGGTCTTATCCCAAGCTATATCTTTCCACGTGAATAGCGCTACTTCTTCTTCATGCGTTTGATGTATACTGAGGTCATGATCGGAATCTGTGTGACCTGTGTAAGATTCCAGCCTAGTGGCTTGTGCTCCTTCGATCCTCTCCTGCGATAGTACGGCAGAATGTTTACATTTGTCAGTCGTCATAGTCGCGTCATCTGGGGTCCCTAACTCGTTCTCAATTCAGAGATCAGTAAACGACAAACAAGAAGGAGTAGACTCCATGTCATATTTACCGGGTAAAGAGCTCATACGTTTTACTGCGGTCTCAGGACTCGAGAGTGCAGAAGTCAATAGGTGGTCCGGAACATCAATATGATTACCACGTAACGACCCAGGACAACCCGGAGAGGCTTGCTCAAAGCTCCAAAGAGCAATCACAACTGGTGTCTCCCCACTGTCGGAGTTAAACTGCTGATTGGCTGTCCCGGGGGGCTTCTTGTGATTGCGAGCAATGCAAATCTCCTGGACCATCGTGGTCTTTCGAATGATTTCTTCCTTCTCGGGATCTGGGTGAGAAAACAATACCTCACCCCCCAGCCAGCTTATGTCAAAAGGGATTGTCACCGCAGAGCAGAGTGGATCAGGAGAACAGGTTGAAAGGTGTTTTTTGATCAGAATCCCATCGCGATAAACGAAGTTGTGACACACCCATTGTTCCGCATTGAATTCGCGGATACTCTTCATTCGCTGGCGCAGCTCAAAGAGAGTTTCCACATTAGATCCTTGGGGCACGCCTTCGGTTGGAAGCTGAAGGACGGCATGGAAGTGAAGTATCTCGTACCGACAGGGCCCAGTCAGAGACTCAATGAGCATCTCCAAGCGAGGGAATCGCCGTCGCCAGCGCGCGATGTCCGCCAGACTCGTCAAGCCTACTACAGGCTGATCGTCCTCTGAGCGAACATATGTGTGCGGTGCATTGTATTCTCTCTCCTGTGATCCCGGCGGCAGTGACTGCAAGTGAAACCGAACGTGACTGATCAAAAGATAGGGTTCAGGTTGACGGACGGGCAGTGGATCTTTTTCGTCCGTGCGTACTCTGACTGCGGGCTGTGCGGGTGGCGGTGGCCCACAGCTAATATCTGGGACAGATTGATCTGGCCAATCAGGTCCGTCGTTTATGTGGATACGCCTTGGCGACTGAGGGAAGGAAGATTCGGACCGTGTGACAGTTCGTATCTGCGTTGCTCGCCCCTGGGGATCGGGGTGCCGACGGGGCCATCGCGGAGGATCGTCGTCGTCATCATTGTGTCTGTCCATACTCCAGTTTCGATATTAGCGATGTGATCTCCGCGAAACTCGACTCACAGGATATTGACTCGACGATGCGAGAACCTGTAGTGGATGAGAGGGAAGAATAGGAGACATTTGTTGAAAGAGATTGCGAGGGAGCTGAAGGTGGGCGAGGGTGAGTGGGGAGTGAGGCTAGCGACTTCTTGGTCGTACTTATGTTCATGCAGGTGCTAGTCCCCTTTGAGATAGTCTGTCAGCTGACTTCACAAACAGTAGACGAACTTATCATTGACTAAACGGGGTACAATGGATACTAAATTAGTTAATCATTATTATAGCCTCTTGGAATCCTGGCGTATACACACACATTATTTACCCTAATATATCGACACCACACTACCTGAATCCACTCTCCGTCTTTAACCACGTGCCAAAGTCTTTCAGATCCGGATTAAGCCTTCTCAAGGCCTCGATATCAGCCCCATAGCCCTCATCATGGAACCATTTAAACATCACTCCAAGCTCCTTGACGACCATCATCATCAACTTGACCGGAATCCTGAAGGCGGTCGGTACGTCCGTCCCCGTCGTCTGCTTGAAGATCGTCGCCATCTGATCATACGTCAAATCATCCCCTGCCAGAGAGAAAGCCTTCCCCTGTGACAGCTCAGGATGTAGAAACGCTTGCGCGGCAAAGAAGCCGATGTCACTAGTGGCGATCAACTGCAGCGGCTTGCCCTTCAGCGCCATCTGCCACGCAGTCGCAAAGACCCGTCCAAAGTAGTCTGGCGTCAAGTTCTCGAAAAACGCTGTGGGCCGTAAGATCGTCCACCGCATGGCAGTTCCTTCTGATTTTGCGATCAGGTGCTTTTCGATTTCATGCTTGTAGACAAAGTGCGGGACTTTGGTGGGGTTGTTAATGGAGGCATCACCGCCACGGTCGACGGAGCTGTAGACGAAGAACTTCACGCCTTGTTTGATGGACTCGTCGACTAGGGCCAGACCCTGCCGACGCTCGTTATCGTTGCGTGGATCGGCGGCCTGTGGTCCTGGGGGTTAACATCTCGATATCTGCGTGGCCTGTCATCGACGTACCTGGACACTGTACACCCCCCAAATCGGAGCGGAGCTGCCAGTCTTGGCGGACCGGAATAGCGCTGCCGGATCATCCAGGTTGCCTTCGACCAGTTTGATCCTGGGTGACTGTTGTGCGAGCTTTTGGGCAGAGGAGGACTGTGCATTGCGCGTGACGGCGAGAATATCGAAGGAGGCATTTTTGGCCAGGAGATTGCGGATCACCGAACCACCCTGTTTGCCGGTCGCGCCGGTGATGAGGACTGCGCTCATGTTTGTTGTTTGCTCGGTTCGGTTGATGAGTGGGGAGAAAGGATGAATGAGGAGCTAATTCTGTCTCGTAGAGCTTTCACATTCAACTTATACCTTGCTTTGACCTCGAGTGAAAGTCTATTGCAGACAGAGTTTGCGGATCATCGTATCGATGGATCCATTACGCAGCGACTTGCCGTTTGCGGCATCCTCGGCCTCGCTTTCAACCCCGAGCTGACAAACCACCAAATTTCCACGGTAGCTTTTCGCGAAGAACATCCGACCCAGACAAATCAGGCGCTAAAATTTCAGAAATGCGGTAGATGGGCTGGAAAGTTCTGTGGTCAGAACGCCATGTGGTAACCCCTTTTCTGGCTACGAAGCCGGAGGCAAAAAAACCATTATGTATCCTTTCGGCTCTGAGATTAACCCCGAATCCAGGTCAAGCACTGCCAAGATTGATAATTCATCTTTTGCAAGCAACGTTATGGGTGTTATTCGGACTTGATTTCACCATGATGACCAACCGTTCTTTTGCATGCTTCCCCTGTCTGGGAGTGAGGACAAATTCTGGCTTTAAAAAGGTCTTGAGAACCCTTGTAACGGCCGTATGTGTCCTCCAGCTGGAGAGAAAGTTTATGCTTCGGAAATCAGTTCAGGCAAAGTTGTTCTCCTGTAGCCAATCTGTTATAGTTCTTTCTTAGCTTCCCTTTCTTGTTCCTGTCAATATTCTTTCTCGATTTACCGAGCCAATTTCTCAATGGCCGACCTTCAACACGGTAAAAGGAGGTCACACAATACGTCCTTTGACGTCGACAGTCAGCATGAAGACAACGACGCGGCTCAATTTTACCCCATGGGACTGCAGCTGGCTGTCATCACGATAAGTCTGATGTTGGCGGTTTTCTGCGTGGCACTAGATAACACGGTACGGTTTATAGCCTTTCATCTGAATCATTTTTGTAACCACTAACATGGCCACAAGATCATGGCAGTGGCTATTCCCAAGATTACCGATCAGTTCCATGCTCTAGATGATGTAGGGTGGTACGGATCATCGTATCTCTTGACGACTTGTTGTATGTGTCCCTTGACCGCGTCAGGTGATTCTGGTCGGCGGTGGCTAATTCCCGAAACGCAACGCAACAGCATTTCAACTTCTGTATGGCAAGCTCTACACTCTCTTCAGCATCAAATGGGTCTTTCTCTCTGCGCTTTTTGTCTTCGAACTGGGCTCTCTCATCTGTGGTGTTGCACCGGACTCTGTCACCTTGATTGTCGGTCGCGCGATCGCCGGACTGGGCAGCGCAGGCATCTTCACCGGTGCAATGGTGACTCTGGCCCACACGGTCGCTCCGGCGAAGAGGCCGATGTTCTTCAGCATGCTCGGAGGGATGTACGGGATTGCATCTGTCGCTGGGCCTTTGGTATGTGTGATCTCTCTAACAATCCTGATAGATCTCTGTAAGCTTCCACAAAACTAACGTCTGGTGGCTCCAGATGGGCGGCGCTTTCACTGACCACGCCACCTGGCGATGGTGTTTCTACATCAACCTTCCCCTCGGGGGAGTCACGGCCATTGGACTTCTGACGCTGCTACGATTGCCCGCAAAGCCACAAGCCCAGAGAAAATCACTGGCTGCCACGCTCAAGGGCCTTGATCCACTGGGAACCATGATTTTTGTCCCAGCCATCGTCTGCCTACTTCTCGCCCTGCAGTGGGGCGGGGTCACATACCCCTGGTCCAGCGGACGCGTGATTGCCTTGTTCGTGATCTTCGGACTGGCGCTTCTGGCATTCATTGGCCTCCAATTCTTCCTGGGAGAGGACGCCACCGTCCCCATACCCATCGCCCGCCAACGCACCATCGCCGCCGCGTCGCTATTCGGCCTCTGCATTGGAGGGTCATTCTTCACCATGATCTACTACATCCCCATCTGGGTATTTCCGCCCCCGTCCGCCCCCCTTCCCCTCCAAACGCGCATAATTTAATCCCAAATATAGTTCCAGGCAATCCGCAACGTCAGCGCCGTCCGCTCCGGCATCGACTCCCTCCCCATGATTCTCTCCAACGTAGTCGGCATCATCGCCTCCGGCGCCCTGACCACCGCCTTCGGATACAACGCGCCGTTCTTCCTGCTCAGCAGCGCGATCATGTCCCTGGGTGCGGGGCTGATCACCACCTTCACGGTCGACATCTCGCAAGCCAAGTGGGTCGGGTTCCTGTTCCTGTACGGCCTAGGCGTGGGCTTCGGCTTCCAGCAGGGCGGCGTCTCGGCGCAGGCGGTCCTCCCGCTCGCCCAGGTCTCCGTCGGCACGGCCATCGTCATGTTCCTGCAGATGCTGGGCGGGTCGCTTTTTGTCTCGGTGGCGGAGAATATCTTCACCAAGCACTTGATTGCCAATATCGCCGCGCTAGAGATTTCCGGGTTGAGCCCCGAGGCGGTGGTCGGTGCTGGCGCGACGGGGTTCCGGGCGTTGGTTAGTGCGGAGCATCTGCCGGCGGTGCTGGTCGCGTATAATGAGGCGTTGGTGAAGGTGTTTCAGCTGGCGCTGATTTTGGGCTGCTTGAGTATTTTGGGGGCCGTCGGGGTGGAGTGGCGCAGTATGAAGGGGAAGAAGGTGGAGGTGGCGGCTGCTTGACGGTTGGGCTCGATCATTTCGAAGTCTGCAGCTATTTAGGAGAGGGATTTGTACACACCATCTGTTTTCAGGTATCATCTTCGGAGACTGTCTCCCGCTCAGGGCTCCTGAGCGCACCATTCAGTTTCGTTCCTGTCTTGGGTGTGCCGGCTGGACATGTCGGACTTCGGTAAACCAAAGTGCATATTATATATTATGAGCATTTGGCGGAATGAAAAATTGCTCAATCAGCTACTAGGATAAAAGTGGAGAAATTGATCAACACCCAGCTTTTGCTGAGATACCTGTACGACGACTGTAATGTAGGTGGTAATAGATTCCAATGTGAAAGAGGTTGTTTTGGTGCAGCGTGGCATCGACATCGCACTACCCCCGGTGGCCCAAGCTCTCTCCACCGGACCTGGCACCCACAACTGCGTATTCTTCCTTCCTCGGATGCTTCATCCTAAATTTATAGATCGATCCACACCTCTAATCTGGATCCATTCTACAGGCGACTGAAAGCTCTACTCATCCACCGACCCCGCCGACGCAGCCCCCGCCTGCTCAATGAATTCCTGCCTCAACCACGCGTCCGCAGGCGTGACCCACCACGACACCACCGCAAACACCGTCACAATTGCCATGATAATCGGCGCATCTAGCCAAACCAACAACATCAACCATTAGCCCATTACCTCAGAGTCAAGCCCAACCCTTCCCCCCTCCCCACTCATCTTGGGAAACAGATCAAGAGACTTACAATTCAACGTCCCCGCCGAAACCGGAAACTCATACGGCGAGAACAAAACCGCGACGACCCACGCATTCCACACAACCGCCACAACCTGAAAGGGCACCCGCCACCGTCCGAGCGACCACTTCGCCTCCAGCTTTTCGTTTCGGGTTAACGTCAACCGACCGAGACTGATGAGCCCGTACGCCGCAGCGGAGGGGACGCCCGCGGCGGAGACCAGGGAGGTGAACGCCACCGCCGACGGGAGAATCGTGCAGGTGATAAGGGCGGAGACGCCCCACACCACCAAAATGGCGTTGCGGGGTTGGCCCTCCTCGGAGACGCGGGCGGTCCAGGCGGAGAAAGGGAGAACGCCGTCGCGGGCGACGGCGAAGACGAGGCGCGAGGCGGCTGTGATGGCGATGGCGGTGTTGAGCCATAGCGCTGTCACGGAGAGCACGTTCATGACGATGTGGCCGCCGCGGCCGAGGACGACGGCGTATAGCGGGACGAAGGGCTGGGGGGCGTCGTAGGAGAACAGGATGTCGATTGGGGGCTTGATGGAGGGTAAAAGGTTAGTTCAGGGTTTTCCGGGATTATTGGCAATTGTCTGGCTGACATACGGATGTGAAGAGGAACAGGATGACGGCTGTGAAACCTAGCACGCCGCTGATCACCGTGCTCCAGAAAATGCCCTTGGCTGCGTTGAGAGACGCGTTCTTCGTCTCTTCTGCGACGTGGCCTGAGGCGTCGAATCCGATGAGAATCCCGGCGGTTGCGAGGTACGAGAGACACCAGTTCCAGCCGGCTGGCGCACCGGTGCCGTTATACGTGGTCATAAAGGCTTCGTGGGCGGTGCGGAGGCCGTAGGTGTTGTGGGCGCCGACTGGGAGCCAGATGAGATTCAGGATGAAGTCCAGGAACACGGCACCTGTCGATAGCCAGAAAACGTATCGGAAAATCCGGGCTGAGGGTGGTTAGTTCTTTGGTCTTTCGTCCCGGTAGGTGACTTACGCGAGGCAAGGTTGATCCACGCCGCCAATGCTAACATCACTTCCGTGCAGATCCATTGCAGCGCACGGAACTTGATGTTCCCTGTGTCGGTAGGGAAATCAACTTCGAAGACGGTCAATTCCTATTGATTGTGAGATTGCATCATCCGGAATAAATTCAAACGTGTCGAACTAACAGATAGCATATAGTTGACAGTGGACTGGGTGTTGCCTGCACGTGTAAGCGCAATCGAGACAACCTAGTGACGATACATACTGGCACAGAACGTCGTCCAGGCGGTAGTACTCCACCAGGCGACGATGAATCCAAATAGCCGCCCAAACCGACGGCCTCCAGCCTCCGCAGCCCAGAGGTAGATTGAACCTGCTGTCGGGGCAGCCGAGCAGACCTCTGCAATGACGGCTGCGGTGATAAAGGTGAACACACAAGTCACGATGTAACTCGTCCTGAACTTGTTTCAGCACTGGATTTGTAGCTCAGGGATAGGGAACACACCAGTATGCCAGAGGGCCACCAGCCGCTATTCCGGTGGAGAACGTGACACGAACGCCGCCGACAAAGTACAAGGCCGCTACGAGTTCCAAGTCAATTCCCGCCCTTCGTGACGAGGCAGTGACACTCACCGAATGAGGTAGAGAAGTTCTCAAAGAGTGAATAGCTTCGATGGAGGACCTGGAAATGTCAACATGGGTTATCTCCGGCGCTCTTCGTCTATTACCTGTTTGTATCCAAGGCGCTCCTATGATTCATGAGTATGATGATCCTAGCTGACAACCTTTTATGAACGACTAACCAACGCAACCTCATCGCTTTTATTCGTCTCAACGACCGTCGAGGTCAAATCACTCTTGGCCCTCATGTCTCGATATTGCGCCAGACCCGGTCGCCCACAAAGCCAAAATCGAATTGCGGCACTGACAGAGTCTGCAGACACGCCTCGTATTAAACATCGGACCCTTGTTGGCTAGTCGGTCGTCACGACCTAAAACGTGCATTAGACCGAGCCAAGAGTTTGGATCACGTATTTTTGCCCCGCTTTATTCCACGTGGATGGCGCCTCATATGCATGCTGAGTCGTGGAGATGAATGTTATTGACCTCTGTGTGGTCTATTGCGCCATTGTGTGACAAGCCGAGGTGATAAAATGACATCGCGGGTGCGGATGACGCGATATCCATGCGGGACCCAGAAGCTGAACTGCTCCCGTATCAGAAAGAATCCCTGAATTGAATGCGGTGAAGAATCCTGTTTCGCACAGTCAATGATAGATGTGCACGACTATCGGGTTCCGCGGACGGGGTTGACATATATTATGTCGTGCACGGGTCGTGACAATGGTGCAAGCAGGTATACACCATGGGCTTGATCATATTCATTGTTTTAGCATCGGCCGCGGCCGTCGGTTGGGTGAGTGCAGACCGTTGCTGACCAAGGGCAAATTCTTATTGACTGATTGTTAAGCTCATCTATACCTACTTTCTCTCTCCCTTGGCCTCCATTCCTAATGCAGGAGTTCTGGCTCCCGTCTCTCGTTTACTCTGGGAGTTTCCCACCGAGTATCAAGGCAAAATCACGCTCGAGCTACCCAAACTTCATCAGAAGCTTGGTATGACTGTCGTGCCCCGACTGGGAACTCAGCTGACAAGTGAACCCATACTTAGGTCCCCTCGTCCGGATCGGGCCCAACCAGATCTCCTTCTACTCACTCGACATCTATAAAACAGTGCATGCACCGAATAGCCCGTTCGTCAAAGACCCTCGCGTGTATAACCAATTCGTCCAGGATGGCCACCCTGCGCTGTTCTCAATCACGTAAGGTCTCCGACGATATCCGTGTGTGATTCGTCAGCTGATGTGTAAATACGGCCAAGTGACACAAAGGAGCATGCCCAGCGTCGACGTCACATGGGTATCCTGTTCAACCGCAGCAAGGTTCCCGCGTTGACAGAGATGATGCTCGAGCAGATCGATAAGTGGGTCAAGTGTTTGGGTGCTGCTAAGGGGAAAGGGCCTATTGATCTTGGACCGTCTTGTCGCGCCTTGGAGTCAGATATTGTTTGTGCGTGTTCGTGACACTACTTTTCAGCATTAGCTAACGCCAGTACGTAGCAACATTTGCGTTTGGTAATGCCATAGGGGGAATCGACGCTCTTCAGAACGGAGATGAGCTTGCGGTCATCAAGGAGAATGATCTCAAATCCTCGAAGATGCCAGTGGTATGTAGCGACAGGAGCCGGCCCTTCCACTGCTAATGTCATCATATCCAGTATGTTAACTTTCCGCTTGCTGTTGATCTATGGCACTCGGTCGCAACCTGGATATACCGACTCTCCGGCTGGGAGGTATCCTCGGTGACTAGCTCGCAGCGCTTCGACAAGGCATATCCTCCTCCATGAACAAGAATATCGTGCATGGCAACTAACGGAAGAAAGTGGGCCGATTCCCAACTCATCGCAACAAAAGACAGTGAAAAGGCACCCCGCCTCTCCTTCCTCAAAGTCATGGCGGGGCCAAGAGTGTCCGAGCAGTCGGCACTCTCGGAAGCCAAGGAAATGCTGGGTCCCGGCACCGACACAACCTCGGCCACCCTGGCGCACATCATCTACGCCCTGTCGTTTAACCAATCCTTCCAAGTCGAGCTGGTCGCCGAGCTCGACGCTTCCGGATGGCCCACCGATATGTCCGCACTTGAAGCCATTCCCCGTCTTGTCGCCTCCGTTAAAGAGGGGATAAGGTGGACCGGGGCTGCCGCCGCAATGCTTCCGCGCATCATCCCGCGCGGTGGATATTCACTGGCGGGCAAGCATCTTCCGGGAGGGGTACGTTCAACAGCGTTTCTTTCTCTCCTTCAGCCCACCCACCCGACTAATACCTCAAAATTAGACCATGATCTCCAGTTCCCCGATCTGGTACCTGCGCGATGAGAATGCATTTCCGGACCCCGAGTGCTACAGACCCGGTCGGTGGCTGGTTCAGGACAAGAACGAGGTGACGTCGCGGCGGGATGACTACTACATCCCGTTCTCCAAGGGTGCTTCTACATGTATCGGCAATCAGTAAGTGTCTCTCAAGTAATCAGGGGGAAATAGAATAACCTTTGGCTGGCACAGCTTTGCATATCTGGAGCTATTCCTGTCGCTCTCGCAGATGCTAAAGCGATATTCCATTCACCCGATCAACACATCATGTGTTGATACCCCAGACCACGAAGCTGTCCTCCCACCACGACGGGAGTGGGTCGCTGCTGTGCCGATCGACCAGCTAGAAGTAGTTCTGCAGGAACGGTCATAACAGGTACTGTACTGGTTCAGTTCGATATGCGTTACCAAGCATGCCAAAGTCTGCTTCAAAAGAAATGAAAACTGCATCAGATCCTTCCTTATCGCACCCATTCAATACCCAGTATCATTTGCTACGGCGTGGCTACGACGTGGCTATGGCTGCCTCACTGGCAAGAAAGGCACGCGCAGGAATGAATTTATTAGGCGGGCAGTCACTAAGTCAAATTGTGTTATAATGTTATAAGCAAGGACTTCCCAGACCTGCAAACGGATCTTACATATTCCCACAGGATTATCATTCTATGAGAGACACTTTCTCTGTTCGACGACAGGACTTTTGTCTGAGCCCTTCTGTACCCTTGGGAGTCGAGGAAATTCCACAATCCTGTTGGGGATTATGCCCTAAGCCCCAACAAGTCCGAACCCCCACCGGCACAAATATGGATTAAAATTGATTGTATGGCATGCGTTGGAAACGCTTTATGTGCGTTACAGCACGGAGATGACGTTAACGACGGGTAGATGTTCGTGCCGTGGTTCGGGCAATGTCAATGCTACTCTACATTGACGCTTCCGCTTTTTGGCTCACATTCTTACAGTGTAACCCTGTACAGCGGGCTACATTTCGTGCCGATCCATAGGCGTACTTACAACGAATGATCTCAGCACCAGATAGCTGAAGTCATGAGGTGTTGCGTTCATCCAGCGGCCCCGTCTGGTAGCCGGAAAACCCAACATAAAATCCGGGGGTTTCCGACTACAGCGACACTGTGACTTTTGTCAACCAATTTTTTCGCTATCTTGGGTTATAGTATCAGGACATACGAACGTGATGATGCTTTCTTCCTCAATCTGTTCCCCCCTCGTCCTCCTCTCGCTGGTCTCAGTATCCCTCGCTGCAACCAGCCAACAACCTCTCCACCAAGCCCAATGCCTCTCCGCGACAAGCGGCCACGGCGCGATCAACTACCAAGCATGATGTGACGGGACCACCGGCGCGACGCCTATTATCCGGGTCGAGACGGTCGACCAGGTCCCCGTCCGGTATACCTGCAGCGCCTGGATGAGCGCCTACGACACCAAAGGCCAGCCAGCCCACAGCGCGGCCGACTGCGCGCGCCTCTGCTTGCAGGACACTAGCTGCGCCGCCAGCACCTGGCAGAGCTCTAGGTCGCGGTGCTATCGGACCGCGCGCCCCGCCGCGGGCTCCCCAGATCCTGTCGCGGAGGTGAACGAGGACGACGGCCGGGGGTACGTGGCGCTGCAACCACTGGGGGAGGCGGCCAACGACCACGACCGTCTCGACCAGGTGTGTCAGTCCCGCGTGGACGCTGCGCTGGCGCCGGTGCAGGATCGCGTCCGGCAGTGTGATAGCTTCATTGAGGGGAATTATACGCTTCTGGATCGTATGTTTCAACGCTCTCCCCCCCTGTCCTGACACAATGAATCAACCAGTGTGTGTTGTGATGTTGAGAATTCGCTAACCCCCGAGACAACAGACACCAACAAAGATATCAACAACATCCCCATCGGGCAAGCAGAGACAGTTATTGCAGGCGGGGCCATCTGGAAGACATATTATTTCCAAGGTAAGGGTTTCTTTTCTGTTTGTCTCTGTTTTGTGTCGACTTGTTGTCTTGTTCTTGTTCTTTTCTCATCTCCTTTTTGTGTTTCTCCCCTGGATTGACTCTTATATTGTCACTCTTCCTATCAATCATGTTGAACCCACCATCGAACCTGCGCTGATATACGGCATCGCAACAGCGGGTGGTGGCGGTGCTTCCATGGATTATACAGACCAGATCAGCACCGTTCCCGAATGCCTCAAGTGGTGTGTGCAGCGCGCCGCGGATGGCTGTGTGCGGGCCGATTTGTCGCCAGATGCGCCGCAGTGTCGGCTTTACAATGGCTGGAACACGGCGACCCCGGGCCGCGGTAGTCAGCGGGCTATGGGAACCCACAGTAGTGTCTTTGTGGCGAAGGCGTGATGTTCAGTTTTTTTTTTTTTTTTTTTTTTTTTTTTTTTTT